CTGATCTAATTAACTCCTCGATAAGCAATTCCTCAATTTCAAGATTCCCGTTCCTGTCTATGAATACGACCAGGACCTTCCCGTTCCCATCTCTGTAATCTCCTCCGGTCACAGAATCTCTGTGATAAACCATATAAAAGATTATTGCAGGAAGTAGGAGCTCATAATGTACAGGGTAATGTATTAGCGTGGATGGAAAGTTGACTGACAAAAAACAAAGTTTGCATGATTGGATCTTTTCCTTGCTGTCGGGATGTGACATGGCGAGCTCTTGAGTTCTGGAATTCCCTGAGCTTTTGTGCCCTGCTTTCTTTGCAATGCCCATTTTTTTAAAAAAAAAGAGCTTTTGTTTGTTTGCCTTTCTCTCTGGTTTGTAGTTTACTTTTTGCTTTATAACAAAAGCCTTGAAATGCTTTAGATTTTTAAAGGTATTGTTTTGGGCAAGTTATTGTAAAATTGACACATCAGTTAGATTAGTTTGTGTGCAAGATCATGCAAATCTCTGCTTCCAATGTCCCAATTTTGTCAGTCCATTCACTTGTATTCCCGGTTAATGACTTAGATGAAGGAACTAAATGTAATATTTCAAAATTTGCTGAAGACACAAAGCTGGGTGAAAGGGTGAGCTGTGAGTAGGATGTAGAGATGTTGCATTGTGATTTGGACACAGTGAGTGGGCAAATGTGTGACAAGTGCAATATAATATGAATAAATGCAAGATTATCTACTTTGGTAGCAAAAACAGGAAGCAGATTATTATTTGACTGGCTGTAGAATCAGTGGAATGTTTAGTGAGACCTAGTCCTACTTATGCACCAGTTGCTGAAGGTAAATATGTAGATGCAGCAAGCAGTAAAGAAGGCAAACTGTATGTTAGCCTTCATAGCAAGAGGATTTGAGTAGAGGAACAAGGAAATGTTTTTCTAATTATACAGTGCATTGGTGAGACTACACCTGAAATATTGTGTGTAGTTTTGGTCATCTTATCAAGAAGGATGTTCTCGATGTAGAGGGAGTGCAGTGAAGGTTTACCAAAGTGGAAGGACTGATGTATAAGCAGATATTGAGTCAGTTAGGAATGTATTCATTGGAGTTCAGATGAATGAGGGATGTCTTATAGAAACCTTTAAAATTTAAATAGGACTAAACAGGTTAGATGCAAAAAGGATGTTTCTAATTGTGGGGGAGGCTAGAAACAGCAATCATAGTTTAAGGATAAGAGGTAAATCTTTGAGGATTGAGATGAGGAAAACATTTTTCACCCAGAGAGTTATGAGCCTATGCAATTCACTACCATAGCAAATGGTTGAGGCCAAAACATTTGTGCTGTGAAGAAGGAGGTAGATATAGCTGTTTTGGCTAAAGGGGATCAAAGGGATATGGGGAGGGCAGGATTAGGATATTATCAATTAAATGGAGGAGCAAGCTCAGAGGTTGAATGGCCTACTCCTGCTCCTGTCTTCTGTGATAACAAGGTGTAGAGCTGGATGAACACAGCAGGCGAAGCAGCATCAGAGGAGCAGGAAAGCTGAGGTTTCGGGTCGAGACCCTTCTTCAGAAATGGGGGAGGGGAAGGGGATTCTGAAATAAATAGGGAGAGAGGGGGGAGGCGGATGGAAGATAGGTGGAGAGGAGACAGACAGGTCAAAGAGGCGGGGTTGGAGCCAGTAAAGGTGAATGTAGGTGGGGAGTTAGGGAGGGGGATAGGTCAGTCCAGGGAGGACAGACAGGTCAAGGAGGTGGGATGAGGCTAGTGGGTAGGAGATGGGGGTGGGCTTGAGGTGGGATGAATGGTTAGGGAGGCGGTGACGAGCTGGGCTGGTTTTGGGATGCGGTCGGGGGAGGGGAGATTTTGAAGCTTGTGAAATCCACATTGATACCCTTGTGCTGCAGGGTTCCCAAGTGAAATATGAGATGCTGTTCCTGCAGCCTTTGGGTGGCATCATTGTGGCAATGCAGGAGGCCCAGGATGGACATGTCGTCCAAGGAGTGGAAGGGGGAGTTGAAATGGTTCGCGACTGGGAGGTGTAGTTGTTTGTTGCGAACCGAGCGTAGGTGTTCTGCAAAGCGGTCCCCAAGCCTCCGCTTGGTTTCCCCGATGTAGAGGAGGCCACAACAGGAACAGCAGATGTGCAGGTGAACATTTGTTTGGTGTGGAAGGTCTTCTTAGGGCCTGGGATGGGGGTGATGGGGGAGGTGTAGGGGCAAGTGTAGCATTTCCTGTGGTTGCAGGGAAAAGTGCCGGGGGTGGTGGGGCTGGTGGGAAGTATGGAGCGGACCAGGGAGTCACGGAGAGATTAGTCCCTCCGGAAAGCAGATGAGGGTGGAGAAGGGACTCCATTAAGTGAAATGGGATTTATATAAAGAGATCAAGTAGCATGTGTAGGGAGAAGTGTTGTTAATGGTTTAAGTCAGTTGTATTTCAGTTCTACTGAAAAATCTTCCTGAAATATTAACTCTGTTTCTCTCCCACAAATGCTACTGTGCACTTCTAGCATTTTCTATTTGATTCACTATTTTGTTTCTCTTTATCAAGAAATTGATTCTTTAAAAAAATCATAGTGACTCCTACAAAATGATGTAGTTTGGAATACCTTGTATTCTTGCACACTTCATGCACCAGAGAAAGGTGCAACGTTATTTTTACCAGTGATATCAGGGACTGAGAACCTCGAAATATGAGAAATAAGAATGAACTGGAACAATCAGGCCATCACTCTTTTGTGCTGAGGGGAATTTAATGGAGATATTCAAAAGTAAGAAAAGACACGTGCATAGCATATATAGATGAATTCCATTGTAACTAAACGGAAAACAGGATGTAGTCTTAAAATATGGACTGAATGTATAAAAGGGGAAAATTTGACATAATACAAATGCTTTGCTCAGTGATCCTGAAGTAATTGGAGCTAACAAAAAGATATTTGATAATGATCTAAAGGAGGCAATTAAATGAAGGGATTTTGTAGAATTAGTCCCTGACAAGAATGAGATTAGCACAGATAAGAAAGATCACAAGATTTCTTGTAAAGAATAAAAGATCCATGTTTGAGAAATAGAATTTCTTTCAGTTAAATAGAAGGAAATCCAAAGCAATCTTTCTGGCTTCTGCTGCTACTAAAGATTAAATTTATTTGGTTTGGTTGAAGCATTGCACAGCTTTGGCAATCCTGATCATTTGTGCTTCCACTAACCTCTGGGCAGTGGGTTCCAGATCAATATTACTCGCTATGTCACTTGGTATCTTAGAACTTGCTGCCCGCATAGGTGGTGGAAGCAGAGACAATCAATAATTTTGGAAAAAAAACTGAATGTGTACTGGAAATAAATATACTTTCAGGGCAATTAGGATAGAGTGGAGAAATAGGACTGACTGGATTGCTCTCTTTGGAGAGCCATCATAGGTTCAATGGGCTGAATGGCTGCCTTCCATTCCATAAATGAATTTGACTCAATCCAAAGTTGCAAATGCTATCATTATTATTAAAATTCCCAATTACTAGTTTGCCATATTAGATTGGTCTTTTCTCTGGAAAGTCAGATACTAGAATAAACTTAACTTGACAGATTTTGTTTATTAGCTGGGTCAACTGGTGGCTAGTCACTGAAACATTCGAACGATGCTGCAAATTTTCCCCAACAATAGAACAGATGTTTATTACACCAAAGCAATATGAAAAAAAACTATATATAGAAGACAGAAAAATCTTAAAACAGCAAATCAACATCTCAGTTGGTTTTCAGGAACTGTCTAATGACACGCCTATCACGGTCTTCAAGTTTAAACTTAGCTGACTGCTTACAGCTTTTCTGTGGACTATGGAGATAATTTGAGTTCTTCCCCAAGTCTGCTGATGTGAACACGTCTCAAATTTAAGAGCTTAACTTTCTCCATTTTAATAACCAGATTTCTAACCAGACTTTCCTTGTTTGGAAAATTCCCAAATCAAACCCTTCTGGTGAATTGGTTGATTTGTTGAACTTCTAGGAGGGAAACTAAACTTGCTTCTGAACTCAACCTGGTATTTTCTGAACTGATTAGAGGAAAGTTCAGAAGTCTTTCAGGTGTTTTCTGAAGTAAATTTTAAAAAAGAAAATGCCTAATCCTAGATTCTTCTTGGAAACAGAGATAATGGTTACATATTTATTCTACCTGTCATTAACTCAACAGTATGAACATATTTCCATTAACACCACATGGACTGTAATCTGCCTGCTACTGTTTCTCAATGATTCTCTGAACTTGTCTTTGCAAAATGAAAACCTCCCTGAAATTACCAACACTTTATTTTGAAATTCAAATTCCAATATTGGAAAAAATATATAAATTATACACTTTTTTTTCTTCAAAGATATATAAATGCACATTGCTGTTTCTTGGCTCTTCTCTTTTAATTATGCTTTATGGTGTACATTTTACTGGCTACTGACTTTGTTCGTCAAAATGATGTTGCCTAAGTTCTAAGGAGCTCCACTTCAAAGCTTCTGAGTCAGACAAGCAAGGTAGAGTTGTGTGGAACATTACTTATGATTTCAGTACAGGAAGGTTTATATGGAATCAACTATCTTTAACTTATTGAGTGTTGTTGAAAGCAATGGAAATTTTTATTAAAATATTTTACTGATTGGGAATCAAAAGAAAAATAAATGAGATATAGAAATATGCTAAAATAGACTACACTCTGTTCTACAAGTAAAGCATTCTGTCCATTTTTTTTTGTATTTTTTCTGTTGGCCATGCTTTGTTTAAAACATATTAACAATGAATGAAATAATGAAATAATTTTACGATTGCTAAATGTTTAGCAGTCACAACCCTCAAATTCTCAGCTGAGCTCAAGTTTAAAATTCATGGCTGGCTTAATTATTTCTGTATGCAAATTCTGTCAACTTTCTTTCCCTTTTAAGGAAGCTGTATGAATTAAAGTGACAATGTAGGGAAAGAACGCATGTGAGAGATGCTAAGAACATGAATTATTGAAATTTTTTTTCTGTTCTAGACCTTCACAGGCCATTTCGTCTACTATATCAAATCTGCATTGTGTGAAGAAGACATTTGGAATATCCTATATCAGATAGGATACCAACTTGAAAAAGAAACATTTGAACTGAAAAACAAAGTAAACACTAACTTTGTGAAATTGATTTCTTTTGAGCTGTTCCTGGCTGGAATTGAATGTGAGAATTTATTTGAAATTTTTTCACAAATAAAAAATAAGGGCTATTCAGAACTTAATGTAGTTGAAGAACGAAAGAGCAGTGCAGAGGATGTGAGAGGCTGCATTGATGCAATGAAAAGACAATGGAGACTAATGGAAGATTTGCATACATCCGTGACACAAATGGACTTTCGAAGATCAGATGGTGAACGATTAACAAACAGTTACATGAAACAGTTAATGTACAAGCCTTCATCATTTTTAGATAGTGATGAAAATCACTTAGGAAAGCAGTTAAATAAAGTTCATTTGACACCTGTACATCACAAGAAAGAGACTGTTTATGGTTCTTCCTTTGAGGAAATGACTGATGAGATTTGTCGTCCTACACCTTCACTTCTTGCTATATCAAGCTCCCCTCGTTTAGGGTCAGAGGAATACTTGCAATCTGTTAATGACAATTGGAGAATAGAAAACAGTTTTAATACATCTCTCCATGCACTTGGTGATGACTTGGATCTTTACACAGCTGAAGATTCTAGAAGCACTTTAACACCGAGATGGACAGACACAACAGGTCACAGTACAAGATTGATCAAAAATAATCATTTAAGAGGCATGTATCATGAAACCACGCACCTTACCAAAGAAAGTGTACCTAACACGGTTGCGTTGAAGTGCCAAATGTGTGGAATATCCAGTGGTCTCATAACTTGCCAAAAATCTAATGAGCCTTTTTGTAACCAATGCCATCATAACACTGGAGAGTGTTCACTTTACTCTTGTAGACAGGAATATCCAAGAGACATGGGTATCTTATCCCGCTCATCCTCTGTCCAGAATGATCTTTCTATGAGTTCACCTCTGAAAGAGCGATGTGCATTTTCTGTCACATCCCAGTATCAAGAGCACTTACCCAGTTCAAAGGACACCAGTACATTGCGCTGCGGGTTTTGTGACAAATCCGGTGCAAAGTTTACTTGTATGAACTGTTCAAAAGTCTCCTGTGAAGTTTGCAGGACTGTTTATCATCGCGATTATTGCAACAAGAATAAGACACATAATTTCCACCCAAACAATCAGCTCAATTACAAATCTGGCAAAATTTATACCATATACAGATGAATTATTAAAACTGGAATAACAAAGCATGATCAGCCCTGGAAAAATCTATGCTGAGAATACTTTGAAAACAGATTTTAGGATGAACGATCCTGTTTAAATACAAATGCACACTGTGAATTCTTGTACTACAATATGTACCTTGAAGTATTTAAGTTGCTGCTATATTTTTCAAGGGCTGATATATGTAAATTGAAGCTGCTTTGATCTAAAATTTCATACCAGTGCAAAATGGGATAATGGTTTAGAACCTGGAACAACAAATATTTTTGTTACCAGAAGTGAATGGGAGACAACAGCCTGCAATATTTTATGCTGGAGGATTTAGTGTAAAACTGTCAGATGTTTATATAATGAGCCTTTGTTATTGATGTGCAATTTTCTCTTGCCTTTTTCTAATGTGATTGTGTTTCATATTTACTTTATACTTAGAATTGGTGGGCAAGTGTGTGTTTTCTGATCAGAACCCTGATCCTGTAATGGTATTCGTTGGCTTATCCATGCATTTATTTTTTTTGAAGACTGTTACATAATTTTTTGCTTGTATGAATAAAACTGTGCACCGGACAATGCTAAATTGTGGTTTGTTTATTTTTAAGTGAAGAATTTAGTCTGTCTGAAGCCTAGGTTAATATCCTTTTTGTACTGATAATACGGAGTTAACTCTTTCAGTTTACCAAATGGAATACACCTGTTCTTAACTAAATTCAGGAGGGTTGAACATTCTGTGAATTCTCCTGAGTCCACTAGTTACATCAGTTCTGCTTATGTGAAATTATCCAACTTGTTGCAGACCAGAGATCAAACACTGAAGGCATCGGTTGTGAATCACTTAGTATTCTAGGTAATAAACATATTTATTGTTCAATTGGGAAACACACTTTAAAAGATAAGTATTTTAAACTTTCGAAAATGGAAGTTTCTTATTTATTGTACCAGTTGCGTGCAAGTCTACTAAATGAAGCTGCATATCTTTCTCCAAGATTTTATTATCTGCACACATGGGATGTGATCTGTACACTTTTTTTTATTCAATACATGAATGTAATTATTGACTGTTCACAATTCTGTGTTGGTAATTTAGAAGTAATTAATAGGAACAGGAGTAAGCTATTCAGCCAACTGAGCTTGTGACACAATTCATAGATCATGACTGATTTACCCAGTTGGGTTGTGAACCGCTTTGATGATTAAAATTAATCACTTGGTCTTGACATTTTGAATTGACCATTCCTCAGCAGCTGCTTATTGGAGCAATTTAAAAACCTGTTGTGTTTTTTAAAAACAGCTATTCCTCCCATCTCTGACCCAATACTGAAATTTAAGTTATGCCCCTTTGTTCTGGTCTTCTGCAGCAGAGAAAATTAGTTTTTCTCAGTGTACCCTATATGACCGATGTCTAACAATCTTGAAATACCTCAATTAGATTACCCTTTAAATGTTCTATATTCAATGGAGTATAAGCGCAATCTATACAACCGTCCTAGCCCCTCCTATTATTCTGGTAAATGTGTGTTGCAGTCCATCCTTCCTGAGGTACGTTTTACAAAAAATTAATGTAGCACTCCAGATGTAGTCTAACCAGAGCGCTCTACAACTGGAACATTACCTGCTTTGTATGCTTTCCATGAAAGTTAATATTTCATTGTCTTTGATTATTTTGGATTTGCTGTGCTCCAGGTTTGTACGGGAGTTCTGTGCATAACCCCTAAGTTTCTAACAGATGTTATGCCTGTATGTTGCAATTTTCTGGTGCCCAAGTTAATGCCTAGTGCAGCATTGAAATGAAAAGGTAACCATGTAATCGGGACAATAGACTAAGTTCTCTATTACCAAGAGTGTGAATTCACAGGACTTTTTTGGAAAATTTGTTCTAGGCTGAAAAGGAACGTGCCGTGGGAGGGTGATGATCCAATTATCATGATCTGTGTGGGTATCAGCAACAAACACAGTGCTAGGAATAAAGGTTCTGTAAAGGGATTATGAGTAACTGGGGCTAAATTGAAATGCAGGGTCTCAAAGGTAGTATTAAGCTCGATTGTTACCTGAACCATAAGAGAAATGAATGCATAGCTCGAAGATTTGTGTGAGATAAGTGGTTTTAATTCATGTGGCAAAGAGCAAATTAAGAAGGATTGAAACAAAAAAAATAGAGGCTGGAAGTAGGGTATAAGAGAAAGCTGGCTAGTAATATAAAGCAAATACTCGTAGAAACACCTACTATTTAAGTAGGGAAAAATGTAACTAAAACTAATGTTGGTTCACTAGAGAAAATGGTAATATGATAATGGAAAATAAGGAAATAGTATTAGTCTTTCAGCAATTAACGAACAAAGACATCCAAGCTTGTTTCAACTCTCCCTCTTAAGAATTATTCTGAATTTCAGTTTCTCTTACCAAAGTAGACTACCTCATCTTTCCACATTATATTCCATCTGCCAAATCTTTGCCAACTCACTTACCCTCTGTTAATTCCCTTTGTATCCTCCTCACATTTGCTTTAGAGTTTTGACAGATAACCACTGACAAATTTATCTCCACACCCACCTCTTTCATATTCAGAGATATAGATAATCAGGACCAAAGGATTTATTCACATTAAGTCCCTTCGATTTCCCTAGCACTTTTTTTCACTAATATTAAATATCTTGTTGTTTCTCATTTTACATTCTCCATTATTTCTGGGATCTTTTAATATTTTCTTTAGTGAAAGTAGAGAAAGTATTTATTAGTTTCCCTGCAATTTCCTTATTACTAATTATAAATTTTCCTGACTTTGCTGTAATCGATCTATACTTGTTTTTGCTTATCTGTTCCTTTCCTTTTTACATACCTTCAACTTTAACAATCTGTAGATATGTTTCTTGTTAGTTTACTCATTCTATTTTCCCTATCTTGATCTTTCATTTAATATTTGCAGAATTCCAAGATCATCCCAATTTTCAGGCTTACTACTTTTTTGGCAACTTTATAACTGTCCTTTTGATCTAATGCAATTTTGATTTCTTTTATGTTCTGGTGTTTGGCAATTCCACAAATTTATGTGGAAAAATTAAAGATACCACTAGTGCAATGGTTGTCACTCACTGACTGCCATATTCAGTATGTTTAATGTTGAAGGTAGTTCTCAATTAGTGAGTTCTCGGTTACAGGATTCTTTACTACCCTCATTCCAATAATACATGCCTTATTTGAGATTATATAGTTCTTGATCGACTCCAAACAGCATGGAGAAATAGTGTGTGTAAAAACTCTGCGTTCCTGAGCAAAACTTCTGTGACTCTTCTTCAAAGATCATGTCTGCTAATGGCTTGCAGTCCTTTAACGCACCCTTCCAAGATGTGCAGCAAGTGGGGCATTTAGCGTATTCTCTTGTCTCACTGGCCTCAGTTGAATAGTCTCAGAGAATGCACCGTTTATACTGTAAAATCCATGATCAATAAGTGCAAAGTAACTTGTCACATAGCTATGTTGAACCTTCATGCTACACTTTTAGATAATAGTTTACCCTCACGAGCAGCTCTTGTGTGGTTGGGCAATGTTCACACATGTCTTCCTTCCCACACATTCACAGCCCAACCACACGTATGTAATAAGTGTGGGAATGAAAGAAGAAAATGGTAGAAGAGCATGACTCATAGCATGTAGGTGGTGATCCCAACTTGAACAAGCAAAGCACATGTCCCAGATTTTCTCTCAAACATTTGGGTTCAGGGAAAGATACTGTATTGTTATATCCAACTTGAGGCAAGTTTTATACTGTAATAAGCAATGGTCAAGTCCTATGAAGAAATTGATAACAAATCCAAACTACTTACTATCACTACTGCCACACAGGATGATGATCTGGATACTGAATGTATGCCTGACAACAGCCACACATCCACGACAAATTATACCCATTCATCTGCAATGACAATTAGTGGACTGTGGGCAAGCTAGGCTATATCTGGTTATGTCCAGATCTAGGTTGTCATCATGTCCCAAAAAGTAGGCTTTAATGTATCAAGTCAGTATATATGTAAGCATATTTGTACATCAGGAGAAAAAGGGTGTTTTTAAAGGAAACAAAGGACATGTATTATGGCACAGATTTCACACCATACAGCCCCTGTACTTTTAAGACAGTTACATGACTTAATTACATGTGATATTCTAGTCTAAGGTCTCACCTCAGTCACACTCTCCATGGAATAGACTCAATGGCATCTTGAATAAACTGTCCTCTATATTTTTGTCAACTCTGCTTCCTGAATAGCCTCCTCTACCAAGACTTCTCATCTACGCTGCAGCCCTCACTCTTGTCCATTCAAGCTGCAAGAACCTACAAGAATACCTGAGTAAAAGTGCTGGGAATTGGACAGGTGGTGGGCTCATGATGTTAATTTGGTCCAATAGGGATTAGAATGTTAAGTGCTTGTTTTCAAACAGTGCAGACTTGATGGATTGAAGGGCCTTTTTCTGTATTGTAGATATTTATGATGCTATGAAAGTCAGCAGGAGGATTGTGACCATCATTTTGTGCCACAAATGTGTTCTATGAATTGACTTGTCAGGAAATGTTAGCAGCCCACTTATCGGCACCAAAATTTTGAAACATAGTAACCCCGTTTTGCCATTCTACTCCAGATTTTATTACTTCCACTAACAGCATAGTAAGATTTGAGCTCGTGTCACTCGGACAAGTTGCCTGTGCTGCACGATTACTAATACAGTGACAATGCAATGATACCATTCTATTCTATTCACATCACTCTTCATTCCCATTTTACTTGCATCAGCATAAATCTGAGTGATCTGCTGCAGCATCTCTTATCCTCATTCCCTTCAAACTCAACTCCTCCCATCCTATCAGTAACTGCTCCACGAACCTCATTCACTTCCATCCGTTCCCATTGCAAGTAATGAGGTGACATATAACCTTGTTCCATAAAGGTTTTTGGCTTCTTTTACTAAGAAAGTGAATACTCACAAGAACTCTAATAAACTTGCCGGATTTCCGACTTCACCATATGCGCTATATCTGTTCAATCTGCACCATCCTCAGAATCATTTAGCTCTTTCATACCTGGCCCCACTTAGCAGAAGAGATTATAAAATGCCAGCAAGAGGACCAGGTCTGGTGCAGCACCATTGGAAATCATAGTAGCTTTAAGAACTGAAGTGGATATTGGAGTGTCGCAGCATCTCGAGCACCTGAATATTGGATGTGAACATATTAGCAGTTCATCTGAACAGAGTGAAAATATCAATCTTCCAGACCGCAAAAAAGTTCTCCCTCAGAGGACTATAAAGCATCAACAATACTAATCGAGTGATTCATATGCGTATAATCAAAGTTGACAAAGTACTATCACTAAATCATATCCTTTTCTTCTTTCCTCCAGGATATCACAAGAAGGCCATAAACTCCTAGCTGGAAGATCTGACGATTCCACAGGGATCCTTTCTCGGTGCAGTAGATGTAATGTCATAATAAATATGCTTCTCTCCTTAGGCAATCTTTGAAGATCAAGGATGACTTCTAATTTGGTTGAATGAATTCTGAGATGATTTATGAGTCCAACTGCAGTCTTT